ACTTATTGTTCAAAATAAACAATCTAAAAAATTTTTTTTTAAAATTCATTACTTCTTAAGTAATAATAATTCTCTGACTGAAATTGAACGTTGATTCATTTCAACGTGTAATAAAGGGTCCTTTTTTTACTTGACATATTCATTCTGCATATCAACATATGTAGTTGCTTTGAAAACATGTTTAAGTGAACGTATTTTTGAATATTTTATTGTGTGTGATATTCCATTTCATTGGGTTAGTAACAACTGTAAAAACAAAGTGCACAAAAAAATTGTTTACAATTTTATCTCCACGTTGTAGTTTGGTTTTTCAGTTTTTATTTTGTTTATGTAACCTACTGAATAATAAAATGATTTAAAGATTTACATTTTCAAATCATTGTTACCACACTGGTCAATATTACTCATCAATAAAGTTATATAATCTCTAGATTAGATTGAAAAAATTTTACCTCTGACTTGTTATTTGCTATTCTTAGTTGTTCTGTTGTCCAGTAATCTGTTGCCATGTTCAACAAATTTGATCATGGATTTAAAGACTGTGTAAACTCTACAATAATCTATGTATCAACGTCCAACTGAGTTTGATGGATATACTCTTTTTTCCGACTATTTTTTCCCTACGATAATCGAATATGTCGTTAGATCATTGTCGACTGATTAATATTATACTGTTGACTTTTGTGTGTACATGAGCTTTGTCATTCAGGTAACTAAAATATAACTTGAAGTTGATTAAGTTCTTTCCATATTTTTTTCGCGAAAAATTTATGAACAGATTATATTTGTTCGTTTTAATATTAGTTTGACCTAAGAGGCCTACTCGAATATTTAGGCTATCTGTTTCTTAACATCAAAATATCTTAAGAAGTTACCTCTTTCTGTTTCTTATAGCACGTCCATTATGTCTATTAATCGCATAATCTATTCAGGGGCACATATATAAAAAGTTTACGAGCGATAGCTTCACAAGGTATAAAAAAGTACCATCCAAGACATCACAGTGGCTGACAATCTGTTAAGAAAGTTGGAACGTTACTAACACGTCCATTCTTGAATTGTTTTGTAAAGGAAACTTATAGAAATATCCATGCTGAGAATTCCATATTCTACTAAACATATAATACTGAACTGACTCATTATTATTATTATTACTATTGTTATTATTATTATTAATATTATTATTATTATTACAGAAACATTTTTGTATACTGAGAGAATTGCCTAATCACTAATTTATATGCCATAATATCTAAATCCTAACATTAATTATCATAATTATTGTGACAATTATAAATTTATTTGAAAAAAAAAAACATTATCTAAAGTTATTATTAATGAATTATTTGATAAGTAACACATGAAACAAATTTTAACTAGTCTAGCAAATTTCTCATTGTTATTCAGTTAAAGATAAGATGTATGCATGTATGCATGCCATTGTCATTAAACTCTGATTGATCATAATGAGAATATGTTATTCGATAATTCGAACATATTTTTGATATTTGTAAACATGAAACTTCTTAACACCAATTACTAATGATGAATACGTTATGGATAATGAATGGTCTGGCGTTATCAACCACTAGCTGATGTAGGGAATAAGAACTGTCGGATCTAGCATCGGTGGATGAAATAATTATGGTTCGTCACAAAAATTAAAGATGATGAATTTGACCATGAATATATACTGTTAATATGTTAGAAAATTGAAAGAAGTAGCTATTTGCACATTTCAAATCATCAATCAATCATTATTAGAACACCATTAAAAACCTGGAAGCACTGGACAGCCGTTTCGTCCTGGTATGGGACTCATCAGCAGTGCGCATCCACGACTTCTGCTCCTCGAAGGATTCCAACCCGGGACCTTCGGTATTGTGCGCGAACGCCTAATCATTGGACCACTGGGCCGGCAACCAACGGTGTTAATGTCTAACTCTGATTGATTTAGGGATTTTGCGCGACCTCACCCATTTGTCTGATGAGTCCCATACCAGGACGAAACGGCCGTCCAGTGCTTTCAGGTTTCTAATGGTGGTTTATTAATGATTGATTGGTGATTTCAAATGTGTAAAAACACAAACCTCCAAAACTTTGCCCCCAAAAAAAGTAGCTAATTAGCTTAGAAAATAGTTTAAGAAAACAGTATAGATTTGTCGATTAATTTGCTAAATATTTTCGCTTAGTAATTAAATAGCACGAAAATGACTAAGTGGTAAAATGTGTAACTGCATCCGCTGCGCGTTATAAATTTGAATATCTGTCAGTGCATTAACGCTTTAATTATTTCGTATCAACCCGAGGTCGTTGGTTTTGATGCTGATGATCACTCAACTATTTTTTTCTCATTCAAACATTGTATCTGGAATGTTAAATTGTCAATTGTGGCTTGACTGTTATATTTTAATTGCCTTTCATTGGCTGAAATACAAGCTCCAACTCTGCAATAATCATTACTTACCATTAAAATAATAAAATAAAAGATAAAATACATAAACACATAATTGATAACAAAAAGAAGAACGATCTAATTTTGATTCTGGTCACATTGTAAGTAGGTAATAATAAACAAAACACTAAAATAATACGATCATTATCAATCTGTCGTCTTCATACGAAGGCATCTAATCATATTTCTACGTACAGATTTATTTAATGTGTAAAAAAATGAATTTTCTTCAATAATGATAGAAATTTTCAAGATCACTTATTTGTCATGATCAACAAGTTATACTGATTGTAGAATTCAATCACTTATCACATAGTTTATATATGATAGCCCTTTAATCGATTATTATTATTATTATTGTTATTTATTAGTACTATCATCAATGTAGCGGTATATGGATCTAATATCGGTTCATTATTGCTATGATTATCGTTGAATATTTCCTGAATTCACTTAACCAATAACACTTTTAATCATACAAACATTTGTTATTGATACAGATTAATCATTTAGTAAACTTATGGATTCTTATTTTTCTTCCAACGACATGAATATATTTGTGTTGACAGTGTGGTTTAATAATAATAATAATAATAATAATAATAATAATAATAATAATGCTGAAATCTTGGTCATAAACATCTCTTGTCTGAGTCATCCACTTATAGTGAAAATAGAAATGAGAGTTCTGTGTTTTGTCAAGTATATTAAATTTTCTGTTATAATAATAATAATAATTTTCATGTTGACAGTTGACAAAATCAATGATATTGTTGTATGTATGGTTGTGTGGTTTTGTTTTGTTTATTCTTTTGGATCTGATAATTCTGTTATTCTGGTTGTATACTTTGTAAACATTTACATATACAAACACACATATACATCTATATATACAATACAACAATCCACAAACATCCTATCTACTTATTCATCTATCTATCTACCATTATTATAATTCTAGGTGTTGGACTACAATTGTGTAGTTATGTGTTGTTCTGAATGGTAGTAGGTAGCAAGTTGAATTGTAGTTTATTTTTCGGTTCATTGAACTATGCTTACTTCACTAAAGGTTGGTAGTGTTTTTATTTTCTGAGTTAAATATTTCCCGGTGAACGACTAATTCTTGCTGAAAGATAGAAAATAGAAAGAAAGAAATTTTTCACAATTATCCACATCGTTTGACTATATTGAGCAGATGTTTATAACAATAAGTATTCACTTGTCACGTGAACCTAATATAAGGAAAAATAATAAGAACAGTGATTAAGTGATCATGATAATATTATGAATGAACTTATAAAGTTAAATACAAAAAATGAGAATTGTTTTTATTAGGTTAAAATTAATTGTAAATAACTAATTGTTCTTATTAAGCAGTAATTGAAATGATAAAATCAAAATTTTGTTTTATTAGATGGGAAGGTCAGTCCAAGTTGGTCATTTTATAGTGCAATCATCCTGATAAAATGTATCCAACTGTTTAGATATAATTAATTAACAGTTCAGATTATCTATAGATATGATGTTAATCTGATCTATCGATCTGTTGTGATTGGCTTAGATTAGGCATTGAATGACTCAGAAGAGAAGTCATTGTAGTAATGTAAATAAACATATGGAATGTAATGTACTTTAAATCGTTAAGTACTGAAGAGTGTAAAAATGTAGTTCTAATTTATATGTTATTTAATTGATCAAATTTTAGTGTTTTATAATCAGTTGATAAATTTACATGACACCTGATTCCGTTGTATTTGAGCGGGACAATTCGATTGATACAAATTAGAATATGATTTTATTATAAAAATTCTAGCTATATGGTGAAATTCACAAGATTTTATTATATTTAAAATATGCTCAACTCTGATTAGGATATCGAATATTTATTTAAATAAGTCAAAATAAAGAAGAGTGACTGATGAAAGTTAGAAATGTAAAACACTGATTGACAACCCATTCGTTAGAAAATAAAGCTCATAATGCAACGGATAAAATTCCTTGTTCGAATCCATGGCAAATTAAGAAAGTGAATTACTTATTGGTATGGAATTGCTGTCAAATATTTCTTGAATGTTAATATTTGTCCAGTGACAATCAGCTCTTGATGTAAACTACAAAAAACAAACAAGCAAATTTATCAAAATGACAGTATTATAGAATATTTGCAGTCGTTACCTTGTAGTAGTAGGTTAATCAAAATGATTTAATAAAGACTAAGTATTCAGTAACAATTATCAGTATAAATTTATGCTGGTTGTTGAGTTTTTATTGAAACCATGATCACCACTGAAAACATTAATGTCGACTCAGTTAATCGTTCACATGAGATACTGAAGGTTCGATTCCAGAGTTCGGGGTGCTTGCGCACTGTTGAGGAGTTGCATACCCAGTGATTCTATGTTTTCGCTGGTATTCTAGCTTTAATAGGTTCATAGAATAATCGAAAATCAGTGATATTTTATGCGAAAATATCAAAGCCAAGAAATTTCGTAAATCATTTGTCTTTGTGTCATGCCTTTGACCTGCTGTACCATTTTCATTCTAGGTAATGTAATTACGATTGAAATTACTGGCGACTCAAATACACTGAATACACTTTGTGAAGAAATCATGTCCAAAACAAATCTTACAGTATCTAGTAAATTATTTATTCAAATTATTACAGATTCATTGGAGACAACAAAAAGAATAAATCTACTCAATGGTCTTCACAAAATGCATATGAACACATAACTACTTCAAGACAGTATTTATCATATTATTGAATTGACTAAAGCACCAATTTGCATCAATTTATTTAAAGTATCTTATCATGTTATTTTTTTTTTGCTTTTCCAACAATGGTAATGGCGAATTGTTTTGTATGTTCATTTATTGATTTTGAATTGAAAAACAATTCTGTATTCAAAGTATTCATAAATGAATCAAGGAAACACAGAATATCAATTATACTTAAATTGGTTTTTTTTTTACCTAAAGTATAACTATCTGTAAAATTTCTGTTCGTCTTTAGTGTTGTTGTTGTTGTTGTTAAAAAGATAGAATTAAGCATGAATGTAAACAGAGAAGACGATTTCAATGTTAATTTTCAATCATGTATTGAGAAAAATTTAAAAATTAACATGAAGAAGTGATGAAATATACTGGTAAAACTTTTCAGTTTAATATGCTATTCATCACTATTGTACATCATGGCCATTTTTACCAAAGACGTTTCAATTCTGAACAATGAATGTATTCATGTAATTTTTTTTACTAATGAACATTAAATGTGATTCATTAAATAAAAAAGTTCAAGAAACTTCAGACTTTGATCGCTTTAGTTTTGATGTCTTACTCACTATAGTGATTGATATATTTCAGAGAGAAGGAGTGTAAAATCTTAGAATGTTATCTGAATATATCGAGAACAGGTGTCGTTTCTTGGTCAAGTAATTTTATGGAAAAGAATCATGCAAATATTTTGCAATTTTTTTTCCAATCAATAACATTTCGAAGAGAAATGAGCAATATTCTATGTACTGTTAATTGACAGAGTGTTAGCTGAAGCTAAACGAAATAAAGCATACTACAATTTTAAAGTTTATATCGAATAGTGATCTTCAGAAATCTCTATATAAATACAACTAGGTCATTGGCAGGCTTATTTTATTGATAATTTCTGAACCAAGGAAACACAGACAGAACAAATCGACTTGTGTAACATAATAATGATTATCTGATTTAGTGGCGTAAACGTTAGACTTTCTAAAAAGACATTTGCTCACATGGTACTTCAGCACAATTAATGGTGCGTTTATTTCACAAAAATATTTTTTCAGTCTGGAGCTCTGTGTTCAGTAGCACTTCAACAGACATGTCTAATATTACAAGGTTAATTAATAACGTTTTTGTTTTTGTGTTCAGTTGAGAATTTATATTAGCATGCAACTTTATTTACACAGATCGTTTGCAAATGCGAATGCTACATGGCTTACATGATAAATTTAATTCATACTATCTGTCGTTCTTTTAGTATAAATACAAGGAATAACATTTTAAATCTAAGGAGGAGTGGAGTAATAGTCCCATTTAACATGTATGGTAGTTTCCTGGTCACTTACTTTATGAACTTATTATATAGAGGATACTTGTGATTGCGTATAAACTACCTGCCAGATTGTTCACTCAATGAGAAGCATTTAGCATACTCCACAAGTACTGTAACTGATATTCTTAAATGATAGCAGTGATTGTTCACAGAATGTTACAAGCCCAAAACATTTTGATTCGAATGTTGAAATTTTACAGTTTCATTTATTGACACAAATTCAGACTCAACCTAACAGTATGAGGACATCAGTGGTAACAAGTAGTTTTAAAACTGTAAAACATAACCATATTAGAGAATTAGATCTTTAGATCCTACAAATTCAACTATGAAATTGTTGTGCCATTTCAAAATGCATGACATGGCGATCAGTAGAAGATTTACTGTTAGTTTAAATAACTGGGTCAATAAGGAAGTCACGAGAGAGTGCTCCAAAGGTTTTAATTAGTGTAAATGTGTTCATTATGCCTTATAAGTTTTTTTAAAGCGAACTAAAGTGATAAAGTACAATTTTTATATCCATTTGCGGTGGCTGAATTTGAGGATTTTTGTAGTCAGAATTAAATGATCCGAACTCTGTTTACTGCCATTATCACAAAAGAATGAACATTATCGCGGAAAGTTTTTAACTAGTTATATGGGTTCTTTAATGTTGACCGGAATAAGGACTAAGAGTTTGAAATTTCAAATTAACGAAGCCCAGTAATACATGATATTACTCTAGTAAAGCTTCTACAGAGTTTTTAATGAAGAACATAGCTATTTAAGAAGAAAAGCCACCATTTATGAAAGGTGCTCTCGTGAAATGTATTGTCAAAACAGCATTATTAATAAGACAGTCACAGAATTATCTTGAATTTTAAAATGTAGGACTAAACATCAAAAAAGCTGTAAAGGTCCTCTATTCGGCTATGCTTCTCCCTTAAGTTTGACTAGTATGGTTTGCATGGCACCTCTGAAAATAATGATGAGTGCTTTCTGTACTTTAGAAAAAACAAAGATATTAACATTGGTGAAACTCGAATTTCCGACCGGTTTTCGGGTGAACGATTCTCAGGTATAAGAAGGGGTGGTATCAACCGGTATCAGAAACCTGACTGTAAGTGAGATAATCTCAGAAGACTGGATCAATGGGCAGAACAGTTCAGAGATCATTTCTAGCGGCCTTCAGTCACAGTTCGGTTACCCACGGTCTCCAATTATCATGAAATGGCAAATCGATATAAGTCCTCCAAGTCTACGAAGTTGAAAAAGCTATAGGCAATCTGAAGCGAGGGCCTGACAGACTAACCCCCGAGATTTTTAAGGACAGTGGTCCAGTTTTAACAATCAGATTGACCGAGATCTTAGGTGGAATCCGAGAACTGGACATAATCCCATCCGACTGGTCTCAGTCCCTGACTGTCCCAATTTTTAAACAAGGAAAAAAGTCCTCTTGTAACAATCACAGAGTAATCAGTTTAAATAATATAGTGTCGATCATATTGGCCTCAACGAAAGCGCATGGAAAGCAGACTAGATAAAACCAGGCTGGTTTTCGACCCGGACGTGGATGCATAGACCAAATATTCACACTACGTCGGGTCATAGAACATAGAAACTCATTCCCCTGCCCCATAACAGTAGTATTTCTGGACCTTGAGGCGGCGTTTGACTCTGTCGATTTTGAGGTTCGGTGGCAGTGCACGAGAGAAGTACAATAACCTTTTTCAAGCTCTCTACCCGAGCACTACTGGTAGAGTGAGGGCTTATGTCGAACTGTCATCGGAATTCTTTACTTCAAGTGGTGTCCATCAGGGCTGTCCGCATTTTCCATTTTTGACTAACTTTGTCGTAGACATGATTTTAGAGTTAACATTACCCTCGTTTGGATTTTCAGGGATGTCCCTCCTACCAGGAGACACTTTTGTTGACCTAGAATATGCTGATGAAATAATTCTATTTCATGAAGGTGCTGAGAAAATGCATGCAACAATGCATGCATATTTAGGATTCGATTATTACTTTTAAAGAGCAAAGTGTTGCTTCAAGATGGGGTTGCAACGATACCTGAACGAGTGATAGAGAGTGAAGTAGTAGAGCGAGTACACCCCTTCACTTATCTCAGGAGTCTCACTAACGCTGATGGCATGATGTGTGACGAAATCTCAGCACGGATACAGAAGGGTCGATTGGCTTACGCCAATTCAACGTCATTTACGGAGTAGGAGAGATTTCAGTTTACTGACCAAAGGTCGAGTCTTCTGCGCAGTTTTTCTCTTCATTCTTCTATACGGACGGCCATTCAGGGTAGGAGATATTTATAGGTCACTTGTTTTCGACCATAGGTGCCTCCGAAGCATTGCCCGAGTATTGTAGGACAACCGAGTAAGCAGTGCTATCGTTAGGAAACGAGTCCTAGGTAAGGATGAAGTGAAGTGGATGAAGTAGTGAAACTTCATCAGTTGAGGTGGTTGGAACATGTGTTACGTATGCCTCCTACCCACCAAACACCTCGACGAGCTATTTTTTGTAGTGTAGGAGTAGGTTGAACGAAAGCCAGGGGTGGCCAGACCAAAACATGTCACGAATCCATAAAGTCACTTACAAGTGGACTGAGTTATGTTGATAGGTGTAGGTTATCTGGTTGTGGTCTGCGAGACGACAGCAACCGATGGTTAGAGACCTTGAATGACATTACTCAAAATCGTTTGCAATGTCTCAGGTGCATCCAGTCGTCGTGTTCGATGAAAATCTAATCTTCTGAATTCCTCATCACCTCTAACTTTCTCTTTTTAAATATATTTCATTGAATTATACTTCTCGAATTATATTTTCTTGATTACCAGTAATACTTTTAATATCAATACCACTAGGGCATTCGAAATGACAACTGAGTCTCTATGCTAATGCGGTACGGCAACCTGAACCGAACAACTCACGTACAGAGTTCTAAGTTGTAATTGACTGACTGGTAGGTTGTTAAGCGTCTCAGAAAGCTTGTTGAAAGATTTAAGCATATCAAAAGCCCAGTAAAGCAGTCTCGGGATAATGATTTGTAATGGATCATCGTACAGTTTTTGTGTCACCACAGTGCCAGTAGTAAGGTAAGAGGGTCAATCAATTTATATTTAATACTCAGATTGATGGTGCTGTAAATATTCAACTTAACTTTGTGCGCATCATCGTAAGATGTTGATAATACCTTTTCTGGGTGAGAATCTCAGCTATTAACAACTCGGTGCGAAAAATGATACTTCTGACGTTAACGATTTGATTGTGGTTTTTTAAATTTCTTGAAATGACCTCTTAGATGATAAGTATAAATGTAACGACACAATAAAACATATCAATACCGAAATCACCTTTCAGTATGCAGTAAGAGGGTATTAAGTCACTTATATCCTGTGGTAAAATAACGGAAACAGGTCGAGCTGTTTCGGTCTGTCTCCATAAGATAGGCCAATCAGAATTTTTACAGTTTTAGTGTCTTGCTGTTAAACTTGTTCTAACATATCCACTTCATTACTGAAACAAGAAGTCACTGCATATGTGTCATATTCCAAATGCAACCTCAAAAACGACAGATGTAGAAGCATAAGCATTTCTCCATCTAAGTAACTAAATGACTAACGAGCAGCCTATAAGGCTCTAAAGACTTTGACAGTGACAGACTTTGCAACCATATCTATTAAATTGGTGATTTCCTCAACTCGTAAAAACTTGTTCTGGAAGCTTTAAGAGGCAACAAGGATTCTAATCGTGGTTTAGTTAAACTTTCATCTCCTTCAGGTGACTGTATTCAAACATATAGGTACCTCATCGGCACTAAAAGGTAAAACTCAAACTTGAAAAGTAGACATTGATCAAGAGCAGATTACCAATATGAGACAGATAAGAACCCTCTACAAAAATATTTACATTGGTTAATGATATTTGAACAGCCCCACAAACTGCAAACTACATCAAAATATTCAGCTTTTGGCCCTGTAAATATATAGTGATGAAATAGCGATTTCAGTTTGACAAATTTGTCTACTTCAACATGTGAACAACTAGTACATTACTCAATATGTAATAGAGGTTTATAACATGAAAAATTATTCAAATGGTACACCTAATAATTTACTTGATTAAGAGTTAAGCTCAGAAGACTAGGAGCATAATGACGAAATATAGGACCATTTCACATATTTATATGGTCTGCAGAAAAATTTGGATCACAGTTATGCATGGTTCTCAGGATGATAACTTGGAGGGAAGATAGAAGTAATACCAATTAGTTATGGTACTCAGAAAGTAGACATGTTGTAATATTACTGGTGGAAAAGCACTTAGGAAGGAGTCAAATACTAAGGAAGCCTGCACGAGTGTTCTAGCTACCGGTGGTGCAAAGAAGCCTCATGGTTATCGGTCATGAACAGTTGACCTACGAGAGATTTCTCATCGTTGTAGACAAAGAATAACAAAAGTTTACAAGATAATTTTTTCGCTTCTCACTCACCAGAAATATGGATATAATCTTTACACGATCAGGAGAAATTTTCTCTTAAGATCAGGAAATACAGTGTGGATTATATTAATGACTGCGCAGAAGTTAATTAAAAACTTTGAAATTCGAGCCTTAAGTCTTTAGTGTGATTGGCCAGCTATTATCAGCTGGTAAATCTCAAGGTCGTTTGCTATTTTTACAATTGGTTGAATTATATATATATAACATTCAGATCTAGGGCGGGCTTACGATATTCGAGTTTTTGAAAACTTCGCGTGGTGCTTATGTCTGATTTTGGGATTGTCAGAAATACTGAATTTATGAACAAGAGTGATATTTCGAGTGATACTCCAGTTACCCGCCTCTCAAAAATTCTTTCAAAAGCTAACTTTCTTGAAGTACCCACAAATAAAACGGCACCAAAGCGTAAGTTGTTTTACTAGTATGTTATTCAAAAACAGTGTATCAGATATCAGAAATCATACCTGCGGACATAGATGAAAGGTTTGTTGAATAATGTATACTTGTATGTTGCTTTAGTGCTAACCAAGAGCCGCCTACTACGTCAGCATGGTCAGAAGCACCTGAATTATATGTTCGCGAACACTCCAACAGTTGCTCTTCGGGTTATTATAGTAGTGCGACAACTCACTCTGCTCCAGCATCCTCTATCTGTGAACGCGTAAGTTAACAAATAATGCTAGTTTACACTTAAGGAAATCCAGTTTTTCGAAATTAACCCGGACCATGAACATCCTATTTCGCTAATCAAAAGTGTTTCTGAAGTTACCGAATCTGCAACGCCTAATGACAACAAACTTCGGAGAGCTCATTCTTGCTCCAGCAGAGGGTGGTTGGCCAAAAGGCATTTCCGACAACAGTGGCCTCGTATTTCTGGTATTTCTAGAGAGAGAGATACATCCTTAGTTGGAGCTGCTAACGCAGACACAAATTCATGTCCTGCTGCTATAGTCCATGATGATAATCAATCTAACTTGAGACGTTATTCACTTCCGCCCGTAGGTGAACTGGGTTCTGGAAGCACTTCTGAAAATTCACCCGTTAGAGATCATTTAATTGACTTTTTAACGTCAACTAAAAGTCCTAGCCCTGAAAAGAGAATGGAATGTTCAAGTTCCTTGCTTCATTCTATGCCTAAAAAGATACGCATCGAATCACCAAAGGGAAGTGATTGCAACTCTACAATACCTGTGGAGGAATTAGATGAAAATTCAGATCATGATGATGTTGGACTTTTATTTCCTAGTGCAAATGTTGGTCAAAAACCATTTTTCGATCTCCTACGTCATCACTCAACACCTATGCCATCTTCTTATTCGTACAAACATTGCCCGAGTTCTCCTGTAGAAGTGTTCAGGGAAGAAAATTTGGATAAACCTAGAATCTCACGATGTTTATCCGAAATGCATTCTGTTTCCTATGACGCGGTACGTCAGTTTTTCATCCACATTAGAATTAGTTTTATTTTTAATGTGTGTCAATTTAACAGTTGCTGGTCTTTCTAAACCTGATATAGCCAGCACTGTGTTAAGTCGTATTTGTGTTAGTTATGTTATATACAGTTTCTACTTTGCATATGCTAGAAATGGTAAATGATTTATTTGTGAGCAGTAGTTTTAGAATTCTAGTTTTTATATAGGTGTAGTCATGTTTGTTTCAGTTTACTAGTTAAGGCTAATTATATAATTTAACAATAATCTGGGATTCTGCTAACACTGCACTGTTGAAAAACTAGTCCTGAATTGAACTATAAATGATCTTTATTGACATAACATGTGCTCTCCCAAACAGGAAATAAATGTTTAGTCCTGCGTTGTTGTCTCTTAAGTCATTCAATCAACAGTAACATAGAAGTTCGTACGTACATCAGTTCAAGTTGCCATACCACGTTAGCACAGAGGTGCAATTTTCACTTCAAATCCCATAGTATTAGAGGTAGTAGAAGTATTAGCAGTAATCGGAGAGAGTAGGGTTTGAGAAGATTACTCAAGAGGTAGAATCTAGTCAAATAAAGTGATGAGTAATTTTTAATTCATTATTCTTGACTGCTATAAATTATAGGCTGTGATTTTTAGCTTATAGTTGGCTCATTAACGTAATGCTTCAAAGCATCATGATTGTGACTGATGCCCATTGAGATTATAAATAGACCTTACTTTGATTTATATCGATCTGTTTACTCCAGGGTATCTGTTCCGAATTGTCTTTTACTCAATATTCGTCTTTGCTTAAAAATATTAGACGAAATGGGTATTCCGTTTTCAAATGATCATTTTTATCAATAACGTGACTTAGGAAAATGCTCCCTACAGTAATTAATATTTCATTCGTCCCCATAAGAACGAAGTACCCCTTGCTTTTACCGCCCAAACTGTCTCATCCGTATACGGATTTTCAGTTGCGTCAAGTTCTGATTTCAGTGAGTCATAAAAAACCTAAGATTCATAAGTATCTCGTTCTCTGGTGTATTTCAATATAGTACTATGGAAACATTTATGCAAAGGTTCTCCATCGTGATTATCTCTTTCTATACGATACTAACTGATCGCGACAATAACTTTCCCTATTCCTTTGCCAATAAAAATTTATGCCCACTCAAAAAGTCCTTAACAAATTTAAACTTCGCATGTTAATTGGATTAGCGTAGTAGGTAGTTATCCCAGCTTTCATCTTTATTCTAAGAAAATTTTATTTTCGCTTTCTCTAGATTGCGCGATGTATTGGCTCTTTGAGCAGTCACAGCTTATGCAGTGATGGGAAACGTGCACGTGCGTTACCTGTAGTAGATAGAACGGGCTCCGGCTTACATTGCGTGTCCACAGATACAGTCGCTGATCTAGTATCTGGCTCCAAGCGTAATATCAACTATGTAATTATTGATTGCCGATTTCCTTATGAATATGAAGGAGGCCACATTAAGGGAGCAATTAATATTTTTACTCATAGCGATTTGGTTCAAGAAATATTCAATCGTGTCCCAGCACAACGTCCGCCTGGTACTTCTGGACCTCCGCGATTTCTTGGGGAAGATCTGGCACGAAGATTAGCCACTACACAGCGGGAGCCACTTTCTGCACCCTGTGAATTAATTTCTGATGATGAAGATGAATATGAATTTCCTGGAAATACGACTTCAGAGATCTCTGATTCGGATCTTGCATATGCCAACGAGGAGGTTTTAGAAAAAAATATTCATAATGATAGCCCGAAATCAGAGCCAGATCTTAGTTACGCTAGCAGTGGATTATCAAGTGTTAGTGAATCAGGCAATCAAGATCCTCCTTTCGTCGTAATATTCCATTGTGAATTTTCTTCTCAACGAGCTCCAGCATTGTAAGTCCACTATTCTTTCATTTCAATCATTAATACGGCGTAAATTAAGAGCACTAAATTTTCTATACTTTGCACTTGTTACTGCATCACGAATTGTAAGTTATACGTTTAACTCGCAACTCATCCTTGTGTTTGAATAGGTAGCTGCTAAATCCTGCTCTCTATATTCGATTCAACGGTTTTCCTTGCAACTTTCCTTATTAATCTGACAATTTTTAATTCTTCGAATACACAAAACAATCTTGAATGGTTCAGGCATTGTTAAATGGAATAGTTTTTGTTTCGACTTGCAAACAGGTAAATACCTTCTGATTGGGATCTAGGTATATGGCATTAGTCGTTGCATAATTATCGGAGCCTATACCTTTGAGAAATAAAAAGCATTGATACAAATCAACATGGTGTGCGAACTTAGCATATGTGACTGTTTCCTTGAAGGTTAGTGTAACTATAAACGATGTCTAAGGGTGTTTATAATATTGTAGATTATTAGATTTATCTACTTCGTACAAAGTGTTCGAAAGGTATCCAAATTCTTATATCTACTTTCACTTCTGATCGAATGTTCATCCTTTCTTTCCAAAGGGCTGCATTTCTTCGAAGTGTCGATCGTGTTTCAAATTACCATCGTTATCCATTTCTTTATTTTCCGGAGATTTATATCATGAAAGGTGGATATTCTGCATTTTACCGAAAATTCCCAGTAAGTTCACTAACATTGTTGATGTTTTAAGGAAAAAGTTTTCCGGGATAATTACACCATCTTTATTCTTTTTTGTTTAGCATATATGTACTCCACAAGAATACGTTAAGATGTTTCACCGGGACTATCGAAATCACCTACGTTTGTATAAGCGCCTTACTCGTCGTGTCAGTTCAGCCTGTCTGGCATGTATAAAACCTCAACAAAAGGAAGTTGAGAAGCCCCAAATACCCATCAACGAGGCTGATAGTTACTGTCAACTACCGTTGGATCTTAAAGTTGGCGTACACGGCATGTTTGCAACACACGACCCACCAACACACCAGTTATTATCCAAGCATAGATTACCCATGCATGACGATAATTCCATCGCCGATCTTGCAAATTATGAAGACAAAGAAAATTACTCACCATCGGGTAGGTATTTTCGATATAGTTATAATTATCATTGAATGAGGTCGTCCGGACTCCTAAAACTAACTGTCTTACACACCTGTACTGACCTACTCATAAAACTGCATCAACCAAATTCCAGCAACTTAATACTACAGTTCACTAAGATTCGCGGATTTTCTGCTGCCCATTTCGTTTTTCTTCCTCTAAAACGCTTATCTTATCTCAATCGAATTCTACCTAGACATTTTGGCTTGGCTTCCATACAGAAATGACTAAGACTGGCTTATTCAGATAATACAAAGTTTTGGGTTTGATAAACTTTAAATATCGCATAATTATAGCATATTTGTAGTGGTAACACTCAATATCTTTTAAAATATCTAAGCAGACCTTCCATATTCTTTTCAAATTAAGTGAACTCCCTGAGTCTTAATCAGTCAGTCATTAACAATTTAGGTCTTCGTACGTAAGTACATAAGTTCAGGTTGCCATACCGCATTAACACTGAGACTAAATTGTAGGTTCAAATATCATAGTGGTATTAATATTAGAAGTATTGCTAGTAATGGAGAAGATTAGGATTCGAAGATATGATTGGAGATCTATAATTCGATGAGGTAAATTTAGAAAGGGAAAGACAGAGGTGATGAGGAATTTAGAAGTTTAGAATTTGAGAGAACACAATGAATGAATACACCTGCGCCACTGCAAACGATTTTGAGCCATGTCATTCAAGGTCTCTAACCATCGGTTACTGATCGCTGATCCCAACCAAGGTAGCCTACAGTTACCAACATGACTCAGGCCAGTTGTCTGTGACTTCATGAATTTGTGTCATGTTTTGGTTTTTTATTGTTACTTAATAATTTCACAGTTTCAATCGTTTCAACTTGTCCAGTGTGACATTTTCTACATCAACACTTAGTTTTAAACGTTGTTTTTACCTTAAACCTGGCCTTTTGTAGATTATTAATTTAAATATGTAACTACAATCTGAAAACATCAGATTTACCGTTAGACAATAGTAGTTATAATTTCCTCTTGGTTTACCATTATTTTCAATCCCATGTAAACCGAGGTCAAAAAGATTAAAGTAAACTCAGCTTACATGTTCAGTGATTATTTAATAAACCAGTGAAATGCTGCGAAAATAAAATTATGAAGATCAAGTCCATTACATCTCTGACCGGATTCGTGTCTAGCACGACCAGCCGAAAACACTCATCATCATCAACAGCAATGTAGGACTTTGCACGTAAGTACAGCAGTTCAAGTTGCCATAAAACGTTAGCACAGAGATATAATTGTCAATTCAAATCCCATAGTAGTAGAGTTAGTAAAAGTATTAGAAGTAGTCGGAGATATTAAGGTTCGAAGATGTTATTCAAGAAGTATAATTCAGTTAGGTAAATTTAGAAAGAGAAAGATAGAGCTATCGTTCAACCTATTCCTACACAGTAAAACATAGCTCGTCGAGACAGTCGGTGGTTAGGCATACGCAACACATGTCCCAACCACCTCAACTGATGAACATTCAATACTTCATCTATTGGTCTGTCATCTTTACCTGGCACCCGTTTCCTAACGACAGCATTGCTTACTCGGTTGTCTTACGATACTCGAGCAATGCTTCGGAGGCACTTATGACCGAAAAAGGTGACCTATAAATATCTTCTACTCTAACTGGCCATTTTTCACAGCCATAAAGTAGGACGGAGCAAACTGATGCACAGTGCACTCGTCCTTCGGTCAGCCGAAAACAGTAGGTTCTGGAAACTTTATTACCAGTTCAAATATCCTCCAAATATTTCGCTACTATGTAGCCATCCTCTACCGAAGTCTGTATATAATTAGTTAGTCTAGTGATGTTGAGAAGCATATTCAGTGGTTCAGTTAAGCAACTAGTCTAAACCTGCCGAACCACTGGTCAGTATGAACATACTTTAGTGTGTGTATTTCGATTCTTCTTCTGATGAAACTAGTGTCTGCAGTTGTGGAATACATATTTTGACCTTTGGACAAGCTAAAAGGTTCAGATTATAGTGTTCAGTTTATTCATTAACTATTCATTTTTTAGAATAAACCAGTATTTTATTTAATACATGTTTTGTGTCTTAGGGAAATACTGGTCTACATACTGTATATGAGAATGTCTTATAATCCCTGTGTTCGCAATAAATGTAGCATTCTTATCCTTGATTTACACTTTGTATAAATAGCTAATGCCCTCAACTGAGTTCAGAATGAATTTTTTATAGTAGCTGTTTTTTATGTTATCAGGTTCTGAACTGTGTAGCAAATCTCCAAATCATCGTTCCTGTTCCACCAATAATGTGAATATAGAACCCAAAAATGTTATACTTGCTTCGCCTTCTACAAATATTGAATGTTGTAACCAACTATCATCAAGTATAGTCGATAGCCCTCTTGGTTTGGCAGAAGTCGTTGTTAGAGTCGGTCGTCGTGTGATAGCAGCAACATTGGGTAGTAACAATAATAATTGTTCTGAGGTCACTCGTGCTTTAGATCGAATGAAGAATAAAATTTCACCTCAAATGATTCAACCATTTAAAGAAAAACCACCTATACGTTGTCTTAAACGTTCACTTACCACTAATTCATTGGATATTCGTCATCAGTTAATGAATCCAAAAGTTTGTAATCCATTTTGTGGTGGTAATAGTTACTTACAAAATACACCTTCAATAAGAAGAGTTCGAACCAATTCTAACACTGATTTATTATCTATTGATAATACTGTTAATAGTATTCTGATGCCAACATCATCGACTGCTTTAAATCAAATCAATCAAGATCAGTCTTCTCCACAAAAAGGACATTTGTCATACCATAGTCTTTCTACATTTAGTGAATAAGTGTATAATACTTCGTTTTTGTTTGTTTGTTTGTTTGTTTTATTTCAACTAATCCTTTTTTTATATTAATATAACTATAATCACAGTTATTTACAGATTAATCTGTAAATCATTCTGTACATAGATGTATAGCTTGTATGTATGTATGTATATATGCATGTGTACTTAGTTTTTGTCAAACAATAAATTCACATTTCATAGCATTATCCTCCTAACGATTGTTTTTTTTTACATCCTCACATTGTCAATTCTCTTTTCTTGTTATGTATAGTTTCTGTTCTCATCAGTTTGAATAGTTTCTTTCAAGTTTCACTGAGTTGTAGCCTACCAGTCATGGTTTCAGAAGTAAAACATTTTTCTTTGGTCCGTTAAGTTATCTCCTTTCCATGTTATTCGTATTCAGTTTATATTTTCCCGTATATTATTTCGAATTATTGGTTCTTGAATTTCATTGACTACGGGATTATTTCTTATTCGCTTACTTTGTTTTGTTTACTTTTTTTGTTATATGCTTTCCAAAAACTAACATTTTTGTGATCATATACATACTACATATAGGGAAAAATCCATTTTTCTTCTGTTTGACACTATTTCTATGTGATGATTGTATTTTTTTCAAATAATGATTGTGATGATGAAACTACCAATTTGCTTCTATTATATATTTACTACTAATACTACTACTAATACAACTACTACCCCTAATAATAATAATAATAATATGTACATGTATATATGCATATATATTTCATGTAATTACATGTTTTGTTTAAAAAAATATTAATGTTGAAACTTCAACTGGTTCATTTTAACAAAACTTTCAAATAATCGATGTATTAATGCTTCAGGTAGTGAGGTATGCAAAGGCAAATTATTGCAAAATTCAAACTTATAACATGTAGGTATCTGCCCTAAGTTTCTGTATCATTTCACGATGTGTCTGGTTTGAAATTACTAACAAATTATTCAGAAAAATTTACCTCATTGTATATTCAGAAATATATATATATGTATGTATAGATATACAGTACATTTGATTTGAACCCATTGAAGTATGATGATTTAGTCAGTTCACTTTATTTAGTTTAATAAATATGTTAAACTGGATTATGTTTATTCATTCAGAAAACTGTATACTTTCATACATACAAGTGGTTATTTTAAATTTGCATAATAACATGTCGATGTACAGATTGAATGTTCAATTTCCCTTAATTGAATAGTGGAAATGAATTTGATGAAACAGAATTACTGATTATACATTTTTGCATAACATTTACCCTACAATTTGTTCATATTTGTTTTCCACTTAAGAAAATTTTTGTAAACATTATTCTGTATGCTAATCTGTTAGACAATAATATTATGAGGACAGGGTAGTTTGTGTAATTCGATGACTGAATTAACTAATCGGTTATGAGTCATTAGTATGCGAATTATTTTAGTAGTATTTTAATATGTTGTGCATCATTCTCTGATTGTTTGCACTTTTTAGATATATTACCCATTGTTTATTGTGAAACTTTCCTCGTAGCCAGTAGAAAATAGGATTCACAATAAAACTAGAAAAGACCAATAGTATAGATTTATTTTATGCAGCCATCTGAATATTATTAGTTAAATATTGCATAACCTACCATTTTCGTTCAATGTTTCATTCGTATTTCTGTTGACATTATTGACAGTATACTATCAATGTACATATTATCGGTTGTTTATTTATAACAGCGGGTTAACATAATGTCAGTCAGTAAGCTGGTGGATCAGTGCTTTGACTGTATACGACTAAGTGGCAATTTTGAGTAGGTTTGAACATGAAGCACTCTTTACAATATGGCAATATTGAAATTTTGGAAACAGACCATTGAGTAGTCTAATTCATAAGCTAAGCAAATTAGTTGTATACAGATAACTACCTAATCAAATGAATGGCATGACCAAACTATGGTTTACTCTTTAATTTTCAAGTAGTTTTCTCTTTCTAATCCATGTCTCTTGTTTTTAAGTTTTTGACTCGAATATTTTGGAACATTTTAACTTTGATACCAAGATTTGATGGAGAATTGAATGAATTTTCTAATAAATATACTTATTTTTGCTCTAATTAACAGTGTTATTACTATTTAGTCGTATGATAGCATGGTGCCTTTCAAATTATAAGAGACTCAGGCTGACTACTGTAGCTGAACTAATCAACGTTTGCTTTTAGAAACTACTGCTTACCTTACCCTCTAGTTTGTTACTTTACATCACTGTAGTGAGTGTAGGTTGATAGGATGTAAAGCGGGACATCGATTCTGATTGCATGTCAAACATCCGCCGAAATATATTAATACTATAATTAATATTATCGATCATTTAATTGTGTTCGATATTTTTAAATACCAATTTAATTTCGGAAATATTTTCAGATTATTTTACTCTGTATATGCTTGAATATTCTTTCGAATTGAGTATGTAAATAAAATTTCTATGTAGGTTTACTACAAACCGTACAACATCTGTATCCAAATAATTTGAGTTAATTAATGACTCAGCAACTGAAAATTATACTAGTAAGTGTATTCTTTCAGTAAATATTATATCTCCTATTTATTATTTACATTTATTTTATAAATGCTAACATTGTCAGACCAGCTTATTGTATACCAAAAATATCTAAACATGGAGAAGAGAATTTCTTTGTGTATTCATAGGTTTAACCGGTTTTTTTATTAGGAATGAATGAAAAGAACAGCTGTATTGGTTATACGCCTGCCGTAAGCTACCTTGTGTTTTTTTCTTCATAAGCACACGTCCACCCTCATATCACATGTTTGCTTTTTTTCATGTGTACATACACGTGTTTATGGGATTTGTATATGCAGTATGTGAGCGAGATGAACTGTCTGTTTTCATGATCAACTAAGGCAGAACTCATTAGAATTGACCTGAAAACTTTTTGATCTATGTTTTTGGATAGTCATTCATTTCTCATTGGTGGATATATATATTTTTTCCTAAATTGATGTGGACTGGTAGAATTCACCAACGTCTTGTCTTCAATTCTGAAATTAATTTTTTTTTTGACGATGTATGAGTCATTTCATATGCCCAAAGTTTTTATCTTTTCTCTGTTTGTATGTTTGTCTCACTACTACTAGTATTGTCAGTTGATAAGGTCAGGTTAAGGATTTTCTATCTATCATGAATAGACTTTTGTTTTGCTCTCTTCAGGACACAAACTATAAGACAAAGGTTTCTTTTCCGGTGGAAGTCTGCCTTTTCAAACAATGTCTTATGTATTTTTGTAACAAATAACAAGACTCATACTGTGACATAACATTCAACTGAATAGCAAGGACATGGTAAACACAATTCTGGAACTATAATCTTAAAATTCACCTACGTCTATATAACACAATACTTTTGTTTTATTGGCAGAACTTTCACGAATACCGTTTATGTTTAGATAGATTTTCATTTTATTATCTAGCTATCTTATTGTTATAACACTACCAACGAGTACCGTCCTTACATAAAAGATCAGATCATTATACTTGTAATTGTACTGTTTGACTGTTCTAACAGGTTGACTTTTTAGGACAAACTATTATTATTTTCATAATAAAAGTGCAATTGATTTAAAGCAGGATTGTAAAATGCAGAGAATTTAGATAATGCAAATGTAAGTAAGAAAAAAAATTTGATAACAATGATTAGTTCATTTGATTCGCATAAACCGAAACTAGCAAATTCACATTATTATCAGGATGAGTAGGCGTTCGCGCACAATACCGAAGGTCACAATTTAGAATCCTGCGAGGTGCAGGAGTCGTGGATGTGCACTGCTGATGAGTCCCATACCAGGACGAAACGGCCGTCCAGTGTCTCCAGGTTTCTAATGGTGTTCTAACAATGCGTAATATTTACTAAGTTTACATATCACCATATAATTCATAGATACATTTCAGTTAATTGAAATCCTTTGGTCTTGATTCGGAGAAAGATCTGAAGATTCCATGTCAGCCTCTTACTTTCCTCATAGTCAAAATAAAGATTTATGGTTTGAATGTCAGTTACTAATAGTAATTTTGATTGGTCTCTATTCTATCATAAACTCTAGTTCAATCAAAGAATTCATCAAATTGCTCGATATAAATTCCAGTGTTTAGTGGATTATTGAAAGGATTTTCATTCAATAATATTTATAAAACTTCTGTGAAGAAACGTTTATCAAAATATTGTAAGCGGTAGTGTTTTCCATGTGTTGTAACACAATCAGCTGAACTGATTATAAGAGATTCTGATATTTTGACATTAAGATGCAGTTTCCTAAACACGTTAAACGAACTAAGCCTGAATTCATGTTGAATATAATTTTCCGCGAATATTCGAATACACTCTTTAAAATTCTAAATTTTTTTTACAAGGTTTGATTTTTTTAAGTGTCCTGTTTCAAAATGATCGTTTATTCTGTGTTTATGAATGCTTTTGTAGATCTTCCCTGAGTTTGATCACAGCTTTTGATTGTCATTCCGTACAACAACGTTAAGACATGCTTCAACTGTAAATTTATTTAAAGCAATTTCAATACACACATCCCGACCGTAGCTGCTACATTGACGTGGTGGTCGGGCTTCCCTATCGTGATGACCCAACCGAGCTATACTGACTGGATCTTATGTTACTGAATGTTCTACCATGCCGGGCAGGTCGATTGGAGAACGATGAGACTAAAAGCAGCTACTCAAGGTCTGAGGGCGAAGACGTACTCCTGACTGACTGTAGAGGGGTGTGACAGCAGCACCTGCAGCGATGCTGCCTTCTCACAAGGAAGGAAGGGTTAGAAAACGTCGACCCTAAAAATGTCACACGTCACCTTGTTGCGTGGATTTCCGTCGGTAAGAGTGCCCACTAAGGGATTTCAAGAGCGGAGCTTATACTCAAAAATCCTTTCATAAAAGCCGTGCGTGACAGGCCTCAAGCAGTTGTCCCCTGGGCTCTGCGGTCAAGCACCTAGGTCTCTAAGACCAACACTAATCTACCTTCCTTCTCGGGTTCCTCGGTGTGAGCAGCCGAGAAGTGACAACCGCCCTCAGACCCGTGACAGCACTCGAGACCGAATTGCTCAAAATCAAATCCTTCTTACAACCCCTAATATCTCTGTTATTTCTACGACTAACTCTAGTCGCATTCCTTCAGCTCACTGCACTGCTAATGCAAACTATGCGAGTTTACGAAACGTCGTCCCTGGTCTCCTTAAACCCCGTTCTAAACTACATGTTGGAGCATTTAATGTTCGGACATTGTGTCAAATAGGGCAACAGGCATCCCTAGCTAGGACGTCAGAATCTCGCTCAATCGATATGTGCTGCATCTCGGAAACGCGCATACAGGATCCTAGTTAAATCATTAATCTGATTTGGCATTGTCAAAACAAAGATCAATAGATGAAGTATTGAAACTCCATCAGTTGAGGTGGTTGGGATATGTGTTACGTATGCCTAACCACCGACTGCCTCGACGAGCTATGTTTTTTGGTGTAGGAGTAGGTTGGAAGAAAGCTAGGGGCGGCCAGACCAAAACATGGCAGAAATTCATGAAGTCACCGACAAGTGGACTGAGTCAAGCTGGTAGATGTAGACTACCTGGTTGGGGTCCATGAGACGAAAGTCACCAATGATTAGAGACCTCGAACGAAATTGCTCAGAATCGTTTGCGATCGCGCAAGTGCATCCACTCTTT